AAGACGGGAATTAGTCACACGGAAACGGTCGTAACCGTCTTCTGGAAGGTGCTCACAGAAAGCCTCAAATTCAGATGGAAACGCAAAAATTGACGGAAAAAAGTGCTAGTGTGATAATAAATGTAGCAGGTCCTTTGTAACAAACTAATATCAATATCTTGATATTTTTGGGCGACAGCAGAATACACGAAAAATTAACCCTACCGTACGCTGTCCTCACATTAGCTCTAATTTGCTTTTAGATCTTTTATTCAGTCAAATAAGACATGTGCTAAACCGACAGCTTAAACTAATATAACCTCGTTTACACTAAAATAAAATAAGAGTTGATATTTACACAAAACAACTTATGTTTCTAATATCGCATGAATTTTATATGATTTAAGCTTAAGAAAATATTTCACTCTTTGAAAGAGCAGTGTTTGTGTTGCATATGAGTGCGTGCGTGCTGTGTATGTGTGTGTGTGCGTGCGTGCGTGTGTATGTGTGTGTGTGTTATTTAGTTGGTGAGTGTATTTGTTAAAGGTGATTCTTCTACATTATCCCCAACTCCAAAATATATCAAATATATTTTCGTCCAAAACTCCTCGTCATCACAACCGCTTCTCCAGAATTTAAATTTAAACTCGCGACCGTTGCTAACCGCGTGACGTCATCAAGATCAGCTGACCCGCAAAAATATGAACTGTTATAACCTGTTATAACTAGATTATATATATATATATATATATATATATATATATATATATATATATATATATATTTATTTTTTCATCATCATTATGTCACTCTCTTTCTCTTTCTGTTGCTTTACTTATCTCTCTCACTCTCTATCTTCCTTTCTCGCTCTCTCTCTATTTATCTTCTCTCTCTTCTCTCTCTCTCTCTCTCTCAGTTTGTCTGTCTGTCTATCTACCTCTCCCAAAATTTTCCCTCCCCGAATTTTACCTGGACTATCTACCTATTTGTCTATCTTATCTATCAACTATCTATCTATTTCTTTATCTATCACCTATCTATCTATCTTACCTGGACAATCTATCTATCTATCTATTCATCTATCACCTATCTATCTCTCTTACCTGGACTATCTATCTATCTTATCTATCTGTCACCTATCTATTAATCTTACCTGAACTATCTATCTATTTATCTATCTATCTATCACCTATCTATCTATCTTACCTGGACTATCTATCTATCTTATCTGTCTATCACCTATCTATCTTACCTTGACTATCTACCAATCTATTCTACTTGGATTATCTATCTATCACCTATATATCTTACCTGGTCTATCTACCTGTTTTATCTATCTATCTTACCTGGACTATCTACCTATCTTATCTATCTATCTACCTATCACCTATATATATCTTATATATCTATCTATCTTACCTGGATAATCTACCTATCTATCTATCTTATCTATCTATCACCTATCTATCCGTCTATCATTATCTATCTATATATCTATCTATCTACCACCTATCTATCTGTCTATCACCTATCTATCTATTTGTCTATCACCTATCTATCTATCTTACCTGGACTATCTACCTATCTATCTACCTATCTATCATCTATCTGTCTATCTTACCTAGACTATATCTCTATCTATCTATCAATCACCTACTATCTTATTATCTATCTATCAGTCCCCTATCTATCTATCTATCACCTATCTATCTTATCTATCAATCACCTATCTATCTTATCTATCTATCAGTCCCCTATCTATCTATCTATCACCTATCTATCTATCTTATCTACCTACCTATCTATTTACCTATCTTATCTATCTTATCTACCTATCCATCTATTTATCTTATCTATCTTATCTACCTACCTATCTATTTACCTATCTTATCTATCTTATCTACCTATCCATCTATTTATCTTATCTATCTTATCTACCTATCCATCTATCTATCTACCTATCTTATCTACCTATCCATCTATTTATCTTATCTATCTTATCTACCTATCCATCTATATATCTACCTATTTATCTTATCTACCTATCTACCTGTCCATCTTACCTGGACTCCCCAGCTCGTCGTCGCCCAGCAAGATACTCGCCGGCACCGGGTTTATGGACGACGATCCCGACCCTGACGATGAAGACGACGACGACGACGAAGACGAGGACGAAGACGACGTGTCCCCGGCGCCAAGGAGGATGAAAGGGTTGAAGAGGATCCCCGTGAACGCTGCGTAGGCCACCCACGCCTGGGGAGGAGGGAGTAAATGGGGCGGGAGGTTAGTGGGCGGGGGGTGGAGGAGGTGGGCGGGAGGGGGGGTGGGGGGAGGGGTGTTGGTGGATGGGGTGTTGGGGAGGGGGAGTGGTAAGGGATGAGGGTATTATGTGTGTGTGGTGTTTTTGGGGGGATGTGTGTGTGGATTTGTGTGTGTGTGTGTATTTGTATATATATATGTATTATATATATATAATATATATATATATATATATATATATATATATATATATATATATATAACACACATACACGCACAATATTTCATACAGAAATGTAACATATGTAAAAATATAAATATATATACATATATATGCATATATGTATATATATACATATCCATTATATATCTATATCTATATATGGATATAGAATATGGCCACTATCATACGTCCCACGACCCTCCTTAACACAACGGCCAGAAAGTGATCAAACACCTTTTTCAAGCTATGCCACCATCGACCTAATTTCACCGTCTTAAAAATTTCGCGAATCATGATGAAAGTATCTAAAAAAACGCTAAATTCAGACCTTATAAATAAGTCAGACTTTCGCACGCATCGATCGCCGTTATAACGAAGGCGTTTCGTTGTAAGTGCTCAAGATGAAGTGTTTTCTTTGACAGTTATTCGTTATTCACAAATCTGAACAGATGCAAGTAGCGTGAACTTTACGGTTTTAAGGAGATAATGAACAAAGTGACAAAAGACGGAAAGAAGAAAATGCGTGCGTGTTTGTTTGTGTTTGTGTGTGTGTGTCAGTGTGTGTGTCTACGTGTATGTGTGTATGTATGCATATGTGTGTATGATGTATGTATGTATGTAAGTGTGTGCATGTATGTATATATGTGTGTGTGTGTATGTGTGTATGTATGTAATAGTGTGTATGTGTGTGTGTGTGTGTGTGTGCGTGCGCCCTTGAACCAGCTGGTGAATACAGATTACAACAAACATACAAACAATTTAACAAGCAATTTAGCATTACAACCCCCTCATCCAATCATTATAAAAAAAAATTCCATGACAATAACCAAATGATAAAAAATATATATATTTTACACAAATCCAAAGATCACAAAACCTATTTATTTAGGATAATAAAATAAAACAACAAAACTAAAGGTAAAAAAATGAGCAAGAAGGTATTCCCTCCTTTCCTCTACCCCCCTCCTCCTCTTTCCTCCTTCTCCCCCCTCCTCCCCTCCTTCCCTCTACCCCTACCGCCGTCCTCTCCTTCCCCTACCCCCATCCTCCCCCTTTCCCTTCCTCCTTCCCCCAACCCCTCCTCCTATACTCCTTCCCTCTTCCCCACCCCCTCCTCCTCCTCCCCCCTCTTCCCCTCTCGCTCCTTCTCCCTCTTCCCTCCCCTCCTCCTCCTCCTCCTTCCCTCTACCCTATCCCCCCTCCTCCTTCTGCAAATTGCAAGAATGACGCTTTGCACTTGCCGCTCTGCTGGTGCCCGCCCACCGTGCCACCTCGCTCAGTCGCGGTCATGAGCTCCGGCCCTTATCGGCTCTGCGCTCGCTGCGGTCGCGCGGAAGGCACACGCACACACGCACGCGCACACGCACACGCACACGCACACGTATATATATATATATATAATATAATATATATATATATATATACAATATATATATATACATACACACACACAACACACACCACACACACACACACACACACACATATATAATTTATATATATATGTACATATGTATGTATATATATACATATATATGTATAAATATGCATATA